CTCTGATATTTGCGAGAAAGCAGTAAACTTCAAAATGATGGAAGATTCTATCATAAACTAGCTTGGCAAGGGTTGTCTTACCGATGCCGCCCATCCCCGTTATCCCTATAAAGCGAACATCATTGGCATCATGAGCTAATAGCGAACCTAGTTGCTCAAGCCCAGAATTAATTCCGACTAATTTCTGTGAGGAATCTGACACGATGAACGCAGCTTGCACTTTCCTCCACACGCTATTGACGATTTTTTCAATAAGCTCACTTTCACACCTACATGGTATAAAATAACCAATCAAAAAACATAAGCGAAGCATTTAAGTTTGACTCTGTTAAGACATGGGAAATTAAAGTTGTTCATGCATGCTTACTTATATTGCTTCGAATGCCAACCAGAAATTTTGGACAGTCTTTTTAGATCAGCTTTCCATTGGACAACCTTCTTTTTATCTTCGGTAGTGATGAACTTTTCTTCATGCTCTGCGAAGGCGTTGGCAAAAGATCCCCGTGGATTTCCAACGTCAGATGGATCTGTCTCGTAAAAGACCGGCAGAACTGAGTTCCTAGCTTCCATGCATTGAAGAATGGATGTAAGTTCATTCAAGCACCATTTGGAAGAAGCGTAGTTTGGTGAAAGAACAACGATTGCAACATGCGATTCTTTGATCGCACTCGGGAGCTCAAGTGGAATACTTGTTCCTTCTTCAAGCTCTCGATCGTCAAGGAAAGTCGTAATTCCTTGGAACTTGCACAATTCGCGGTATAAATGGGATACGAAACCCTTGCGGGTGTCTACACCCCTAAAACTCAAAAACACATCGTACTTCCATCGAGGAGCTGATTCGAGAGAAAGAAGTGGGGCAGAGGCTCTTTGGGTGCTGATCGCCATTGCAAAGAAAATGAAAAGTGAACGAAAAACCACGATCAAAATACTCACACAAAAGTATGAGCAGACCAAAAGAGAGGTTTTGGGGGAAGGAAATAATGGAAGAGAGAGAGAGTGAAAATCGTGGGGAAGCCAAGTGAGATACAACGAATCAATCCAACAAGAAAGCAAGAGACCAAGAAGCGGACTTTATTGAATGAGGATCCCATTTAGATCCAAATGGTAGGGATTCTAGAAACCTCATATTCTAACCATTCATCGTATATTGTATAATTAATTTTTTTCAAATACTATTTGTATATAATTTTAAATAATAAAATTTATATGATTTATGACCGTATGATTTATGATAAACAATTAAGATGCGAGAATTCTTAAATCTCAACCATTTGGATCCGAACGGGATCCGATGGACCAAATCCATTATTGACAGGTAAATTGCAAAATAGATTGAGAAAAGTAAGTGTGAACAGGCAGCGCTCTACCTACTCTTACTCCTGCTCCTAAATTGGACCAAAAAATAATTTTTCATTTTCTAGAGAGGATGAGGATCTTTTTTGGATTTTTTTTGGAGTTTTAGAGATTCTCATATTATAGTCGTTTATTGATATTGTGTGATCAAATTTTCATTAAGTACTATTTATGTTTAATTTTAAATTAAAATGTCAAAATAATTAGTGATATATAATGAACGGTTAGAATGTGAGAATTCTTAATATTCTCACAATTGGATTCCGATGAAATCCAAATCCTTCTGGGGCCTCCATGCATTTTGGACGCGGTTTCCAACTACTTGATGGACACTTTCCAAGTACTTGTTGGATGCTTTCCAACCACTTGCTTAGTAAGACTGCAGCGATTTCTGATTAGTTAGATTAATTTAAAGTGAATATGACCCATGAAATAATGAAGAGAAATTAGTTGAGGTTGAGGCATATCATCAAGGATTATTAATTCTTAAATGTTAATTAACAAATCAACGCTAGTAGTTATTTTTAGATTAGATTCAAAACAAGTAGCTTTTAAATTTTAATTAACACCAAATAATTAACAAAATTCTAAAAAGGGAAGAACATTTCCTCCACAGAAAAAAAAAAAAAAAAAAAAAGAAGAAAAAACCTAAGCTCTTTAATTCTCATTCATCTTTTAGGTCAAATTTAGGTATTGAGAGACACTTGTATTGACAAAGTGCTTTTCTTTGATGGGAGATATTCGTTTGTAATTCTACGCTTGTGTGAAATTTTTTTTCCTCACTTCATCATTCTATCTATAGATAAAATAAGTAACACGGAGTAATTAACAGAGGTAAGATAACAACAACAATAACAAGTGTAGTATAGTGTAGTAGTACCAAAACTAACAATTTATGCAAGAAAAAGAAAACTATATTTCCACTAAAAACAAAACAAGAGATGGAAATTGCACCAAAAAGTCAAGATTGGTGGCTTACTCTTCTCATTCAGTCGGTTATGATGGGATTTTTCTTTTTCCCACTAAAAACAAAACAAGAGATGGTACCAAAGAGTCAGGATTGGTGGCTTACCCCATTTTTCCAACTACCTCGACGGTTTCTAACCACTTGCTTGGTAAGACTGCAGCAGTTTTTTACTTGTGAAATTAATTTAAAGTGAAAATGACCAATGAAATAATTGAGAAAAATTGGTTGAGGCTGAGGTATTATCAAGGGTTAACTTTTAAATGTTAATTATTTAATACTATCTAAATAAAATGTTTTAAGTTTGATTCTGGCCGAAAAAGAATTTGATCCATATTATTATTAGTTCATTGTGAGGCTAAGCGCACTCATGTAGTCAATTGAGAATTTGAGGGTTTTTAATGTTTTTAATGAATCTAAGGGTATTCAATCATGATTTTAAGTGATTTTTTGAAATTTAACGTGTATTCAATCAAATTTTTAAGATAATATTAAAATCCTTAAAAATATTTGTATTCAATTAAGATTTCAAAGAAGTTTATAGCATTCTAGGTGTATTCGATTATGAATTTATTTTAAAGAATTTTAAAACGTTAAGGAATTTGAGGGAATTTGAGAGCTTTCGTATTACAATTTATGCATCACAAATCTCACCTCTTCCCTTGAGATTTTGAGATAGTTGAATCAAAAAATTTCATGGAATCTCTACAAATAAATTAAACTCCCTTAAACTTCATGGATTTATAAATCCATTAATATCTCTAAAATATACACCCCTAAATTTGTAGACAAAATTTTGGAAACTAAAGAACATGGAAGTTGATAATTGGTTTATTAGTTAACGTTGATAAACATACTTATTTATATTAGTGACACATCAATTAGTGTGTAAATTTAGTATACGAATTTAGTCTCCATTGCATTACCCTTATGAAATATATGTCGCAGCTTTGGAAATTTTTTTTTTTTTTCAATCCATAAAAAAAGCATTGTTAAATTAAAAATTATGTGAAAGAATAGTGTCAAAAAACTAAGAATAAGACGTAGAGGAGACACATAATTGGAACAGAAAACCCTCGGCCTGGTTTTACCAGCTTTCCCAAAGAAGATTATGTCTCTTTTCGCCAATCCTCTCTTTTAATTATTTGGACAATCAAATAATATTTAAATTGCATAATCAAACCAAGAAAGTAAAGAAACGATAAATTATTTGATCAGTCGAGAACGAAAGTATCTCTATAAATAAATAAACAATTGTTTACAGAGCCAAAACAAAGACTAAAAAAAAACATGTAATTCACAAGAAAGAGCTGAACTTGGCCAACACCAAAATGAAAGGACAAAACTTGACAACCAAAAACACGTGAAAGAAGACTGGACTTAATAGTTACGAAATTTCAAGGAAGCTCACTCTCGATGTGTTTGTGAGAATTAATTTAAACTAAATAGTATCAATGAACAGTTTTCAATCCCCTTATATATAACAAAAATAAATAAATAATCATGTAACAAACACATGTTCGTGAGTGAAAAGTTTGAATATGAGTTGATGATTACTTGTAAATTACTGAATACAGTAGGCAAAATTACTAGGATCATCCGTATACCAAAAATTATCATTGGAAACTCACAATGCTAAAATATTTTATGAGAAATTTTATTTCAACCAATATAACTTCACACCAAAATCACTCACACCAAAGTAGGAATAGACTACGAAGAGATGGGTATTTTTTTTCAGGGTTTTTAAACTTTAATCCTTTAAGAATACTGAAATTTAAAATAAATTTGGTGTTAGATTACATATTCCTTTAAGAATATTGAAATTTAAAATAAATTTCGAGGTTTTTTAACTTTAATTCCTTGGAACTTGCACAATTCGTGGTATAAATGGGATACAAAACCCTTGCAGGTGTCTACACCCCTAAAACTCAAAAACACATCGTACTTCCATCGAGGGGCTAATTCGAGAGAAAGAAGAGGTGCAGAGGCTCTTTGGGTGCTCATCGCCATTGCAAAGCAAATGAAAAGTGAATGAAAAACCACGACGAAAATTCTCACACAAAAGTAGGTGCAGACCAAAAGAGAGGTTTTGGGGAAAGGAAATAATGGAACTGGAAGAGAGAAAGAATTAAAGTTGTAGGGAAGCCAAGTGGGACAATACGAATCAATCCAACAAGAAATCCACAAAATGAACACGAACAGACTTAATTGACAAGGAAATTGCAGAAACAGATTGAAAAAAGTCAGTGTGAACATGCTGCATTATATTTAGGACCAAAAATAATTATTCGTTTTTTGGGGCCTCGTTTCTTCTGGACGGTTTCCAACTACTTGCTGGAAGGCTTCCAACCACGTTATACATGTCTCTCCCAAGAATTTCCACACTTCGGTCTGTATACTGTTGGGACCCACTACTTTTCTATGCTTCATATTTTTTCAAAAGCTACAAGCTTCTTTTTTTATTGATTTGGCGGTAGAAGAAGTAATTTCTTCACTTTTCCAAGTTACTCAAATTACCCAAATAAGTACTCCTTTCGTGCCTGTCATTGAAAAGAGGATTCTAAGTAGGCATATTTACATCAAGGTAGAGGCCTCCATCACTCCATCCGTCAATTTTCGAACGCCCACCTCTGCCAGAGGAAATTAGTGATTTAAGGCCTGCAATCCACACTTGCGCCCCAACTTTGTCCTTGCAAATCTGGACGCAAATGACAGATTATCAAAAATATTGTTATTATAAATAAAAATAGGAAACAATGTAAAGACAAATAATTTTGAGCTTCCACCACTAACCAGATCAAGAGACCGCGCTCCGTTATTGTATGGAAGAGAAAATGATAAATAGTCCTTTTCAGGACGTAAATATCGTTGAAAGACAGCCTGTAACAAATTTTGGAGCAAGATGAAATTAGAATAAGCATCGTTAGAAGACTTAAATTTAAACTGCAGTAAATGTATGCCAATCATGTACTAAAAAATTATATCAAATTTCTCACAGTTCTTTGTCCAGGAACAATTCTTGTGACAGAAGCCAACTTCAAACTTCTTTCGCTACTTGAAATCCAGATCAAAGTTGATTCGTCCTGAAATTATTAAATGCAGCAGTAAGTAGAAAATAGAAAGAATTTAAGCAGACAAAATTTGTGAATTAAAATACAATAAATATAATCACAAGCAAGAACCATAGAAGGCCATTGAAATGCTATCTACCACAGAAGGCCAGTGAAATGGTATCCCAAATCTCTCAAACCTTCGTAGCTATTAATGATATGTTTCTCCAAGAACTATAGACCATATTTTGCCTTGACTGACCTCAAACTACACTACGAATAAGTTCTCAAATCTCTCATCCAAATTAAATATGCCATAGAATCTGGCAAACTGCCTACTGTACCCTTTGGTTCCAATCTGCCATATGGATCGGAACCTAAATTAACTCAGATTTCCCCTTCAGTTATTAATTTAATTAGCAGAAGGGAAACTTGAGAAATTTTATCTTTTCCGTTATAAGCACAAATGGAGATTGTATGCTTGTGGGAGAATATAGAAATTACCTAATTGGCACTACATTACCACTGCTAAGCAGGAAATTCGATTAAATATGTTTCGTAGCATTCTTGACTTCATCCTTTTACAAATTTTACTGTCTGTTCATGCAGGAATTGTGGAATAAATTTTTTTATTTCAACCTTAATCATTGAGCACACCATGTTCTTTTCCTTCCATGGAGTGGACAAACCACCAATATTTTAAAAATAAAAAATAAATCCTAATAGAGAAGCTTTAGATACAAACTTACAGTAGAAAGTCTAAATGGACAAAACTTAGGCTTTCCCTTACGACCATATTTCAGTAGTTGAGCACCCTCCTTCAAAGCAATTATTGCCTGAAAATCATTTAATCATTCAAAACCATGAGAAAGATATGAAGGGCGGATAAACGCTGTATGAACTAAACATAGGACCATATCAAATGCTATTCTAATCATAACGTTACCCTGAACTCCATACCGCATATAGTAATGACTTTTTGACTTCCAACTCAAGAAGCATACCAACTTAGTTCTCATTCAGTTACAAGTTACAACCATCCAAAACATATCATTATTCATAACCGTTATCCTGCGACTAAGAGAATAAATCGCTAAATCCAAACTTTTAAGATATTAAGAAACCCTATGCGTCTTCTAAAGTTACTATAAAAACTGTTCCAAATAGAGCAGCAGGTTTTACACCCTGCGAAGAAAGTAAAATGTGGTTTCCATGCAATGCCATTTCCGTTAGATCACTCAGTCGCAATAATCACTAGACATTTATCGTTTGAAGATGTCAGTACTTTACATATGCCTCGGAGCAAACCCAGTTGTCGATATGGAAAATGCACATGGGAAAAATACAAAATTAAAAAAGGTTCGAAACTTCGGCCCTGTTTGGTTCTGTAAAAGCACCCATACTGCATCCATTGAGCCGAAAATGATGAACCCAGAAGTGATCCTCAAAACCAAAACCTTGAGAAGAATATGTTCCCACTAATTATATCTAAAAAGTTGTATGTCAATTACTAAATCAAAATTCCCTCACATTTTTAACATACGTGAAGATTATGTTCCCAGTAATTATATCTAGAGAGTTGTTTTTCAATTACCAAATCAAAATTCCCTCACATTTTTAACATACCTACAAAACTTAAAAGTATCAAGCTAAAATAAAGAGCTCTCCATCCAATTTCCACTTTTTAGAGGAGGAAAAAAACAAATCTTCTGCTTTTCTAAGTAATTAAACAGACAAATAATTAGGAATTTATTTCATTTTCTTTGTATTTTTTGATACATTTGCAAAAACAAAAAAGAGGCAAAGAGAATTTAGAGAGAAAGAGACCGACCTAGTCGATGTCACGGTTGGCATTCCCGTAGCTAACAAGATCTGCCATTCCATGTGACAGAAATTACCGTAACGCCACCTCCCTCTCCGATCCCCCGCCGGAGCTTCGTTCATCATCTACCTTCCAACTGGCTCTCGCGCCTCCGTGCAATACCATCAACGGCCACGTTACCACCACCACAACCACCACTGCTCAGCTCTCTCTTTCTCTACACTACGCGGCGCAGATCTGCCGAAACCCTAAGACCTCCAGTTCTGATCTTTGACTCCGAGCAAAAAAGAAACTGAGCTCGAAGCCGTGGACTGTTGGGAAGCTGGTTGCGGAGAGACCGACGGCGGGTTTAAAAACGAAGAGGGCCTCAGAGAGGAATTTAGGGAGTGAAGTGAAAGAGAAAAGAGAAGGGACGAAGGGGCGTCGGAGAATGGGACGGGAGGGGAAGCGGACCGGACGAAGGAGCGAGGGAGGGAACAGAAGAGAGAAAATTTAGGGGGGGTGGAGTGGGGGCCGTGGGGCGTGTCCGAGTCTGTAAAAAGCACAACTGGTCAAACCTGTGAAAATTTTGAGTACTACCGATCAAATAAATCAAACTCGCAAAATAAAATAAAATAAAATATGTATTCAGAATTTTAGAGTTTGATGCGACTGAGTACGAACTTGTTGAAACTACATGACCAAGGTGAAAAGTTACTCAAAGTTTTTCTTTTTATAAACAAGGTTAAACAAGCCACTTAGATGTGTCCTTCTCGTATGTTGTTTTTAAAAACGTTTTGTTGTAAGATTAAGATTACAGCAATCAGTTTCGGTTTTCTTTTTTTTTTATATAAATAGTGTCGGCCGGCCATATAAGTATAACTTTTCTTTCTTTAAGGAGTTTTATTTGTTATTTTCCAAAGGTGCCCTTGCTGGAAATTGGCGAGGTGTAATGTCTTTAGCCAAATTTGAACTGAATGTAATTGCAGTCTAAGTTTTGTGTTCCGTTTTTCGTTTTGTTTTACATAAATGTTTACGAAACTACTCATATACGTTATGATATATTCAATTTCAAAAACACTTTATCATTATAAGATTGTGGTTATACTTTAGTGATGATTTTGGGTCCTTGTAAGAGTACAAGTGATGCATCCTTTTCTTCCTTACGGGTGGTATTAGGTTTGAGCGTTGCGAGAATAGCACGATGACGATAATGGCCTTCATTAGGAGTGATGTGGCGAAAAGAGAAGCGACCAAGTTGTATGTTGGTCTACACACAAGCAGGATTGGAGAAGGGTAGAGAAGGTATTGTACAAGTGAAGGTGGGTTCAGAACTTAAGAGGGATTTGGTGGCGGTTGTAACGCCAAAGGTAGCAGATTTTGAACCCAAACGAGGAGAATGTAGGACTTTGTGAATACCTACAATTGCACCAATGTTTCATAAATCCATATTAATTTGTGTGCACGAATGTCATTGATTTGTATTAAGGAAATACATGGACAAATATTCTATGCATTTTTAAGTGGAGAAAATCCAACAAAAAAACTTGACTCCTTTGTAAACATGAATATCAACTAGTAATGTGCATGTTAAAATATAATCATTCTTTACTTACTAAAGATAAAAGAATGACTGCATGAACTCGAATGTATAAACGAGTATATGGTTTGTTTGGGGTTCCTTTTTTGGGAAAAAAAAGAATACTAGGAAGTGTTTTCTAATAACTAAAAACACTTATAACTAAAGTTTGTTTGGTATTGTTTTTTCATTAAAAGCTATTTCACTTTAAAGTTAAACATTAAAAAAATGTCTAGTAAAAACAAAATATCTTGCTTATTTTAAAAGCAGTAGCCTCCAGACATTATCTTTGAAAGCAGCATGCATGTTGCTTTTAAAAGTTACTTTCATAAAAAGTTGAGTTGAACCTTTAATATATATTTTCAATTCCTTAATACCCTTATTAATTAAAAAAATTATTTATCTTTTTTACTTGGTTTTATATTATGTTGAGAAAAACAAAAGTTTTATTACAATTATTTTTTCTAGCTCACACTTTCTGTTTTGTGTCCCTCCAAGACTTAGTAGCTAAGAGCTTGTTTGGATGTGCTTTTAAAATGATTGAAAGCGTTTTTAGAGAAAACATTTTTGGGTTTCAAAAGCACTTTAAGTGCTTTCTGCAAGAAGCACCAGTTACGTGATTCTTTCAGGAAGCACCTTAAGTGCGTTTTCAAGATTTACTTGCATCTTTACTAATGATTGGTTCTAAAAACATTTTCACCAAAAGCGCTTTCAATTATTTCAAAAGCACATCCAAACGAGCTTTAAACTTCTTTAGCGAGCAAAGGATTTTGGGCAGTTCTGACGTACTGTCCAATTAATGTGAGAATTTTTAATTATTGTAGTTTTGTGTAATATTCATCCTTACTTAGGATGGGAACTTTTCGTATATTTACTGCACCATTAGTATAACAATTGCAATTTACATTCCGTATTGCGTACTCTCATCAATAGTTTTAAGTTTCGATTTTGATTTATTCACACTTTTTATTTTCATGATATGGTTTCGTTACTTTTCATTTGTCAGCTATCGTGCCTTCACTTTGGTGGATATCCGGGTCGGGGTGTGTCAGCAGGAGAATCAAGTGTTCGAATGTGAGTATAAGTATAAGGGTATTTAGGCTAGGTAGTTTTGAATTATAATATCTTATCGATGCTTTAAATCACTTTTGACTTGACAAGGCAATTTGTGAAATTGTTATATAATCATTCATGGTGTTGTGTATGGATCTTTTTAAGATTTTTGTTTAAGCAATTGGTTGAATGATGATCATGTTATACATTATGTGGATAAGTAGAATCAAACAATTTTGGCTTTGTTTTGTCCCAATTGACCGTGTCTCTAGTGAAGTTGTAATTCATTTTGATACTTGTAAATCAAATTGTACTTCGACTAAGCAATTTGTTGAATTATTAATATATTACTTATTGTGTTTGAGTAAATGAAGGTTAGCAGAACTTGTTGTTAATTGAAGCTTAACATTATTATCGTTAAGTTTGTCCAGATAAGTAGGAGCGAATAACTTCGGTTTGCTCTATAAGTAAGTTCACACTGTTATACATACATATTGGGCATCCATAAGCTTAAGCCAATTATGTGTTATGTATATTGAGAGCAGAAACTTACTATTGAAATCAACGATAACTTCATCTTCCTCGATTCTTTAAAGATCAAATTTATTCTTACATGCAATGAGCATGATTTAATTTTCTTTAGTTTGAGAAGTCAAAATAGCCAAAAACCCCTAAAACCTGTGGGACTTTGTTCTTCAAGAAAAAAAATAAGGGGGGATTATGGTAAGCAGTTATTTGAAGCGCATGTTCCACCAAGGTGGCTGTTTTGCATTCTGATTTCTCTCTCAGCTCTTCTTACATGATCGATGCTTTTATCTACGTACTCACCCATGAATAATGCTAAAAAGAGAAAAACTCATACTATAGATATATAGCACCTTATGTTTACACATTTTCCTAAACCATAACCCTAATTCGACAACCCTAACCCTAATATTGTTAACTCTGAATGGTGGCAGCCGGCAGTGCATGGCGGTCCACTAAGGGACTAGAGTGGTTTCGGGTCCATCCTAACAACTGTGTAAAAAAATTTCTAGCGACATGAAAAGAATATGAATTATCCTTGTGAATAAGTTAAGTCAAACAACATCATAGCTTATATTTTTCTAACAGTTTTGTTTACATTGGCTTTGTGGTTTCTTGAAACTCAAGAATGAGGTTTTAAAATCGACTTTAATGTTATTTCTAAAGCAACCTAATCAACTATTATTTGCAATCCTTCTCTTTGCCCTCCCTTTTTTTTTTTTTTTTTTTTATGTCAAACGATTCAAACCAAATTTCTTTGTATTTTTGTTCATATAGTTTCACATTTTTTAGTAGTTACCCTGGTCTCTACATCCTACTTAGTTGTATTATACACTTTCTTTGATTCTCTCTATTAAATTTAGCGGATCTTTAATTTTGTGAAGATTATTTCAATTGCTCATATTACAAGTTCACAATTTTTTCTCAATACATAATGAAAAGTCCTCTCTCACAAAGAATTCTGGCTCAGCCATTGTGGCAGTGCCATGATTGCGCAATTTTCCCATGCTAGGGCTAGCCTATTTGCTGATTTCAAACCAAAGAAAAAAAAAATCTGATACCAAAGAGTAATTTCTCTGATCACTTAGTTTATAATCCTGAAAGCAACAAGGTGGGACATGACTTTATTGATGAAGTGGATTTGGAAGAGTGGGTAACTTATGCTACTAACAATGGCAGTAGTATAATTGCATGATGATAACAGATAACTACTTGAAAGGCGCCTATTTGCTGTTTGGTATTTGGTTCGTGAGGCAAATTATAATTGTGCTACTGATTAAAGTAGGGTGGTAAGTACAGCGAAAGAAGAATTGTTCATGATGTGAGAACCGAGAAGTATATATAATGTAGGAATGAGGCTTCCAAAGGCTTGCTTTGCGGACAAGAAGCCAAAATTGCAAAGTTGATTTGACACAACCACAAAACCAACCTACTCGGCATGGTCGCCTTCTTGCCATGCATATGGGACCATTGCATACAAATTAAGGATCACTTTCACTCTTTTGAGGACCATTTTCATAAGTGCTTTTAAAATATTGAAAATATTTTCAAATAAAATGTTTTTGGAACCAAACTTTAGTAAAATGCAAGTTAATTCTAGAAAAACACTCGAAGTACATAACTGGTACTTTTTTAGCATGAAGCACTTCAAGTGTTTTTAGTAGAAAGTAATTCAAGTGTTTTTAGAATCTAAAAATATTTTTTCTAAAAAAGTTTCTAATGATTTAAAAGTACTTGTCAAACAAACCCTAATTCTCTTTTGGATTGTCCAACTACATTTTACCCAATTGGTTGTCTATCATTATCGTTACCAAAGTAGTGGGCTTTTTAAAACCCGAAGGAAATATAGATGTGTAGTGGGAGGAAGACACAACAAACAGAACACCCATAGAGGTTCAGGAGATCCTCTCCTCTACTCATCAAGTTCTTTTCACTTCGTAATACCCCACCATGTTGTGACGGGTACAAACAAACTGCAAGTGTCACTAATTATTTAAACCGAGTGTGGGTTGTTTTTCGACTTAACTATAATATTTATATGTATTTAATACAATAATCATTTTAATAGTTTGATATGGTCTCTTGATTATATATGTATATATTCACATGAATTACATCTGATCGTCAGATAATGATTGTATTAAATACATGTTACTATTGTAGCCAATAATATTAGCGGAAAAAAAATAAAAACAAAAAGTTGTTTGTATATTATATATTTGATTGTGTCAAATGATCTGATATTTACAAACTTACTTAAGTTACTTGCAAATAACACAACCCCAACACACTTGCACCAACACCTATGAAGATATGAAGATAAGGAAAAGGCCGACTGCAGATTAAACAAAGGACCACCCAAAGCAGCCTAGCAGTTGCTAGTTAGGGCAGATGTTGCAGCCTTTGACACATGGATGTACTTTGCTTGCTGAAACTTGATGACATCAAAGAGTGTAAGCATGGAAGAACCCGTGAAGTACTAATAAGCATGGATAGTAGATAATATCCACTCATATCCACATTCTTCTTGGTTTCTAGCGTAGCTAGTAAAGTTTACGACACAAGAGTAGAATGAAAGTATTTATTGGTTTATTTCTTAGTATTGAAAGAAATCTCAAGATCGAATTCTACACATGAATCAACTAAGAAAAAACTACATAATTATGGCATTTAGCCCAACAAATTCAAAAAAGGCCATACATAACAGTTATAGGTCCAGCAAGAAAATCTGAATGAAATATGGTAATTGGGTTTAAGCCCAAAATACAATTCACTAGTAGTTTCCATATGATTATTAAATTTGACTTCCACCTACCTTCTTCCAGCCCAGTCCGAATATTTAAAACCTCTTCACCCTCTTCGGACCGTTAAATTCTAACTTTAATTTGTTTTGATAAAAAATTGTTTACATGATAAAAAGTTTCTTCTCATCTTGATAAATAGCCCAGTCCGAATATTTAAAACCTCTTCACCCTCTTCGGACCGTTAAATTCTAACTTTAATTTGTTTTGATAAAAAATTGTTTACATGATAAAAAGTTTCTTCTCATCTTGATAAATAGCCCAGTCCGAATATTTAAAACCTCTTCACCCTCTTCGGACCATTAAATTCTGACTTTAATTTGCTTTGATAAAAAATTGTTTATAGGATAAAAAGTTTCTTCTCATCTTGATAAATAGTAATGTCCAAAGACGAAGTGTGTGTGAACATTTTTAATTTTTATTTTTTAAATGGATGGAGAGAGTAAGAGAGTGTGAGAGAATGTGAGAGCAGGAAGAGAGTAGACAAAGATTTTTTTTATTATTTTTATTATTTTTATCTTTTATTTATTTAGTTTTAAATTGAAGACATTCTATATTTTATATACTAAAGCTCAGCGGATTGGCACTGTTGCCAATCCGGTTTTGCCTCTGATCTAACGCATGGTTTTCAGCCCTTTAAAAGATTCTACATGAATTGGCGATTTTACCCCTTGGTAGAGTGAGTCTACATATGGGAAGGTGCTCGAACCCTCGCTCATTTTCTTCCGTTGCTTTTCCCTTTCGCCTGCTCTCTGTTTCTCTCTGCTTTTCTCCCTGTTCGATCTTCGTGTTTCCTTACTTAAATCTCTTCCATTTTCTTCCGTCGCTTTTCCCTTTCTCTTCCTCTCTGTTTCCGTGCTTCTCTCTCTGCGTCAATCCTTCGTGTTTCCTTGCTTCTCTCTCTGCGTCGATCGTGTGTCATATGAAGAGTTTCTTTTCCGGGTGATTGCACTGTTTCAGGTGGTTTCTCTGCTTATATTTTTTTTGTCTTTTCTTTGATTGGGAAGAAATTTGCAGATCGATCGCTGTAAAATTAAAGTCTTTGAATTTTGCACTGATTGTTTCCTTTTTTTTTTTTTTTTTTTTTTGATGTTTTCAGTGTGGTTGTTTGATCTGATTGGGTTTTTTTGTTTCAGGAAAATTGGTGTGCGAATTTTAGGGTTTTTGTGTACAACCTTGCAAACCCCTTCTGATTAAGGTCTCTGAGTTTTTTCTTCAAAACTTTTCTTCTTTTTTTTCGATGATTTGTGTGTGGCTGTTCCATCTAATTCGAATTTTCGTTTTAGGAAATCTTGGTCTTCGAGATTTAGGGTTTTCATCTAGATCGATTGCTCGATCGATGTCACATCCCGGCCCGGGGCGGACCACTTCCCGGGCCCGCTCCACCACCGTAGCACGATATTGTCCGCTTTGGGCTTACCATTCCCTCACGGTTTTGTTTTTGGGAACTCACGACATCCCGTCCCGAAACTATCGAAACGCATAGGTGAAATGACCCTTTTACCCTTAGTTTGTTTTGTTATGTTGTTTGGTTGTTTGGTTGTTTGTGTGGTGTTGGCAAGTGTTGGGCCACACACACACACACTGTCTCACTCTCCCTCTCCCTCTGTCATTTTCTCTGTCTCTTTCTCTCTCCCAAGTCCTCATTTCTTCTTCTTCTTCCTTCAAACGTACGGACACACACCAAGAACCATTAAACTGTAACAAATCGGGGAAACCAAGGGCACAGTTGTGATCGTGAGGTCGAGGGGAGCACGGTTATACCATTTTCAGGTAAGAACTTCGACGTTTTCACGTCGATTTCACAAGCTCCGTTTGGGGTACTATTCATGCAAACTTATTTCACCATGTTTTTGGACTTTTGAAGCTCATAGGTGTCTTAGTGAGGTCCCAAGGAGCCTCGGAGTGCTTCGTTGGAAGTGTTTCGACGTCGGGATAGCTTGGTTCGAAGTTGGCCGGTTTTTGAGTTTGGAGACAAGTATGATTCTGTGACTTTTAGGCTTTAAAAGTGGTCTAACGTTGTTCTACTAGTCCTAAGCTTCATTTTGGTATAAAAATCATGAAAAACGGTTGAGAAACGAGCGAGAAAACACGATTTGCAGGTTTTTCGGCGACGGTGCCGGAGTCTCGCCGGAGAAGGTGACGGAATATTCCGTCAGAATTCTGACGGAATATTCCTGACGCCGTTAACGAAATCTGTCAAAACTGACGGAATATTCCTAACGGCGTCAGTTGACGTCGTCTGTGTGCACCGCACGTGCCTGCGCGTGGCCGGCGCGTGTGGCCGTGCCTTGGCCGGCGCGTGGTGGCGCGTGCGGCGGTGGAAAATTTTTCTAAAAATATGGTTGTGATCCCGAGGTTGTGTAGAGCACGTTGGTATATTCAATTGTCCATTTTGAGCAATGTATGAGAAGTTATTACGAAAGGAAGGTTATGTGCTTTAAAATTAACGTTTTTATAGTATTTTCGCATATAGGTGACACGTATCCCGAGAACGAGCGTGCTCACGCGAGACAGGGGGGCTACGACCCTTCCGCATACCAGTGAGTGGGCTTTTGGTTTTCCGTATATACCTATATACATTTATATTCCCAGAAATTGTTTTAAAAGGGTCATTTGTTTATGCCATGCACCATATCCTTGTTGTTTATGCATTATCATATGCATTAGTAGTGGCATACATATAAATATTTATATTTGGTGCTGTGGAGGCGCAGGTAAGTGCCAGGTAAGCATTATTTAACCTTTGCATTAAATGGTGATTAGAGGTGCTTAGAGAGCTCATAACCTGCACCCCCGGTGTTAGTGCTCCCGCCCAGAGTAGGGCACAGTCCTTCACGTGTTGTTCACCTCCCGCACCATACGCTCAGCTTGGATCCAAGTTAGGTGCACAGTCCTGTCGTACAGACCACTTTAGGTGGTTCCGACTTGTAGGTGACCTGCGATTATTCGCACAGCCTTCACGTGATCGTAGCACGAGAACGTTTATATGTATTACACCCAGGCCTGTCGTACAGACCACTATAGGCGGTTCCGACTCGTGGGCAGGTTTAATTATTGAGATTGAGATTGGAGCTCTAGATTCAGCCGTACAGGTCACTTTAGGTGACTCCGGTTGCCAGTGATATGTTATTGATGTGATTTATACCTGAGCACTTGCATATCATTATGAGGCTTTAAGATTGGCATACCCTTGAGCATGATTGGCATATTTATACATACGTATACATGTTTATTTTATGGGAAGTATACAGGTTTTACGGCGAGGGGTTAGAATGTATTTTATTAAATGGTTTTCAAAGAGCTTTGTTTTTGCCCACTCACGCTTTTGTTTTGCGCCCCTCCAGGTTCTAGTTGCTTAGCGGGTTCGGTGGTTTTCCCAGAGGGCGTCTCGGCATTTCTGACAGACACTCACCAGTGTAGGGTCACCTTCGGGTGTACTACTGTCGTATCAATTTCTTTGGACTGCTGTAGTCTTTATGCTCTGATACCAAACTAACACACCCCGACCGAGATCAGGGCATGCTGGCCGTCACGTGGAAGTGACGTAGCCATGTGCACAGTGCGGAAGCTAAAAGAAATAATATAAAAGTACGAATAATTTAAAAACTAGCATATATAATGTGATAAATTAAGTGCTAGCGTAGGTAAGACACTGAATTCAGAGCATAAAGACTACAACAGTCCAAAGAAATTGATACGACAGTAGTACACCCGAAGGTAACCCTACACTGGTAAGTGTCTGTTAGAAATGCCGAGACGCCCTCTGGGAAAACCACCGAACCCGCTAAGCAACTAGAACCTGGAGGGGCGCAAAACAAAAACGTGAGTGGGCAAAAACAAAGCTCTTTGAAAACCATTTAATAAAATACATTCTAACCCCTCGCCGTAAAACCTGTATACTTCCCAGAAAATAAACATGTATACGTATGTATAAATATGCCAATCATGCTCAAGGGTACGCCAATCTTAAAGCCTCATAATGATATGCAAGTGCTCAGGTATAAATCACATCAATAACATATCACTGGCAGCCGGAGTCATCTAAAGTGACCTGTACGGCTGAATCTAGAGCTCCAATCTCAATCTCAATAATTAAACCTGCCCACGAGTCGGAACCGCCTATAGTGGTCTGTACGACAGGCCTGGGTGTAATACATATAAACGCTCTCGTGCTACGATCACGTGAAGGCTGTGCGAATAATCGCGGGTCACCTACGAGTCGGAACCACCTAAAGTGGTCTGTACGACAGGACTGTGCACCTAACTTGGATCCAAGCTGAGCGTATGGTGCGGGAGGTGAACAACACGCGAAGGACTGTGCCCTACTCTGGGCGGGAGCACTAACACCGGGGGTGCAGGTTATGAGCTCTCTAAGCACCTCTAATCACCATTTAATGCAAAGGTTAAATAACGCTTACTTGGCACTTACCTGCGCCTCCACAGCACCAAATATAAATATTTATATGTATGCCACTACTAATGCATATGATAATGCATAAACAACAAGGATATGGTGCATGGCATAAACAAATGACCCTTTTTAAACAATTTCTGGGAATATAAATGTATATAGGTATATACGGAAAACCAAAAGCCCACTCACTGGTATGCGGAAGGGTCGTAGCCCCCCTGTCTCGCATGAGCACGCTCGTTCTCGGGATACGTGTCACCTATATGCGAAAATACTATAAAAACGTTAATTTTAAAGCACATAACCTTCCTTTCGTAATAACTTCTCATACATTGCTCAAAATGGACAATTGAATATACCAACGTGCTCTACACAACCTCGGGATCACAACCATATTTTTAGAAAAATTTTCCACCGCCGCACGCGCCACCACTCGCCGGCCAAGGCACGGCCACACGCGTCGGCCACGCGCAGGCACGTGCGGTGCACACGGACGACGTCAACTGACGCCGTTAGGAATATTCCGTCAGTTTTGACAGATTCCCTTAACGGCGTGAGGAATATTCCGTCAGAATTCTGACGGAATATTCCGTCACCTTCTCCGGCGAGACTCCGGCGCCGTCGCCGAAAAACCTGCAAATCGTGTTTTCTCACTCGTTTCTCAACCGTTTTTCATGATTTTTATACCAAAATGAAGCTTAGGACTAGTAGAACAACGTTAGACCACTTTTAAAGCCTAAAAGTCACGGAATCATACCTGTCTCCAAACTCAAAAACCGGCCAACTTCGAACCAAGCTATCCCGACGTCAAAACACTTCCAACGAAGCACTACGAGGCTCCTTGGGACCTCACTAAGACACCTATGAGCTTCAAAAGTCCAAAAGCATGGTGAAATAAGTTTGCATGAATAGTACCCCAAACGGAGCTTGTGAAATCGACGTGAAAACGTCGAAGTTCTTCCCTGAAAATGGTATGACCGTGCTCCCCTCGACCTCACGATCACGATTGTGCCCTTGGTTTCCCCGATCTGTTACAGTTTGATGGTTCTTGGTGTGTGTCCGTACGTTTGAAGGAAGAAGAAGAAGGAATGAGGACTTGGGAGAGAGAGAGACACAGAGAAAATGACAGAGGGAAAGGGAGAGTGAGACAGTGTGTGTGTGTGTGGCCCAACACTTGCCAACACCACACAAACAACCAAACAACATAACAAAACAAACTAGGGGTAAAAGGGTCATTTCACCTATGCGTTTCGATAGTTTCGGGACGGGATGTCACAATCGATGTAAAATTAAAGTCCACTTTTTTTTTTCTCTCTAAAACTCTGTTTTACTGTATTGTTTCTGTTGCATTGGTGGTGTTTGCTTGGTTTTGTTCTCTGGTCTCATAAATTGAATAGTTTTTTTTTAGTGGTTTCGTGCTATCTTGAACTCCAAGTGGAAAGCCCAGGGAGCAGAAAGTGGACAATCACAATTATTATTGGTTTTTATATTTATTTTAAACTCATTTTAATTAATTAATTTTTTGACCAATTAATTTGAAATATGTGGTGAAATGATCATATATAATTAAGTTTATTAGTTTGCTAAATTTTTTTTTTTTTTTGGGTGTGTTTTAGTAGGTGGATCGGATTTGAAGTATTTTTTAGGGTGGGTAAAAAGGTTGAGCGGAGTTGGGAAAATTCCTAAGGTAAAGTTCTTATGCACTTCTCTGTCTTTTAAAACAAAGCCTTTAGGCACACAACTTCGTTTTTCCAAGTTTTTTTTTTGTGTTGCTGTTAAGAGTCGATTAGTTTTTAGGCACACAAGTGATCATATGGATTAGAATTTGACGAAATTACACTGATTCAGATGATATTGATCAAAAGAATGAGTTAGAAACTGAAAATTACAATAGTTACAGAGGTTTTTCGAATCAATTTTTTTGTTTTTTTTTTTTTACAGTTAAATCTGTTGATTAGTTGATGTGGAAAGAGGTTTTGGTTGATTACTTATGTGCATAATACCTATTAGTGTTTTTTCCTATGTAACTACAAACTTATCAATTTGATGTCACTATTCATTAACAGTGAATGCATTGCAAGAAATAAATGACAACTATTTGTTTAATCCTTGGTATAATATATTCCACCATAACATGTTAACAATTGTTTTAAACCAACATGATCTTACCCCATTTCCAAACCAAATTAAAAAGTACGGATCAACTCACATGTTAAAAAAATTATAAATTTAAAGAACTAAATTTAACAACCATTGCCTGTTTAGTTTAACACAGATTTCCTCCGTTTGATTGCCAAAAAAATGCTCAGAAATAAAACAACTTAATTTCCGTGCTATTGTTGTGATGGATGTTTATTTTAACTAGCTTTTAAGTTTTTAACTTATGAATTTAAGATCTTCAATTTTAATATTTAAACATTAATGTTTTTTTTAGTGCAGTGGTTAAAGAAGAGTAGAAGAAACGTTCTGTTTATTCCTCCAGAAAAGATTAAGACAGGTGAGTTGATCATAGGATTTAAATTTTAACAATTCAACTTTAAATGCTAGCATATGATGGTACATTGAAGATGGTATTTCAACTTTGAGTTTTAACTCTTTACTGTTATTTTTTTTATTTGGTCTTTGGCATGCCATCATACATAATAACATAACTTAGCATTTACCAAAAGATTTAAACATGTAAACTAACTTAGCATTTACATTTTTCGTTTACAGTTGGTGGTCACAAATCAACTGACTCAACTTTATATCAACATTGAAGCATGCCTTACAAGTGTAAATCAACTTTTTTATTCTATTTTATAGAATGAATTAAGTTCTGAAGTTTATATATCCTGAAACCGTGTTCGTCACTGGAAGTTACGCAGCTACGTAGAGGGTTACGTAGTGGAACTTGGATTTCAAAGATCACAGTGAACAGGGTGATAGGTGTATTTCCTCATTTTTTTACCATTTTAGAACTTATATTAGTGATAAATTAATTCGAATCATGTGGCATGAACTTAAAGCTCTGTTTGGGAAAGTGGGCTCTTTACCCCAAAGATGCTTGCTTTTGGTAATATTTGGAATTGTGCTTCTAAGCTGTTTTTCAAGCTTTTGGCCATACAAAATGGAGCTAAGTCGAACAGCTCTTCAGTTGCATTGTAGTTGCTTTCCTAAATTGATTGTTCATTTGTTGAAAAACATTTAAGGGCGAAAATTATGTTTCAAATTGGATTTAGATATGAGTATTACACATTCAAGGTGTTGAATTCATCTTTGTTTTGGTGTTTGTGGTTTTGAATGTCATTTAGTGCAGTATAGCTTTAACTTAAATGTGGTTCTGTATATCTTAAGTACTCATTTGGATTTTGAGCAGTAGGAGAGAGTTTAGCACGTATTTGAGGAAATGCGAAGAACTTTTTTTGAAATGGTTAGAGTTTGAGATTCTCAGACGGAAGCTCCTATGAGTTTTTGGTTTTTTGTGTTGATTTGAACAAATTCGGTTTTTATATTTATTAATTTTTGTTGTGTGAGTAGTATTTATTGGGCTTGATGTTTTTTTGAAACATCAGGTGGTTTGGAGACGTTTGAAATCATAAGAAGACTCAAAGATTTCAGCCAGGTTTGAATCAAATCACCAAATGAATTCTTCTTCCAGGTTATGATTAAATGTTCCCAACTTTTTTAGTTGTATAAAGACTTGGGTAGATAGGAATTTGATTTTAGTCATGTGTTTCACTAATTCTTTGGTAATAGACAAATCTTTATGAACAGTCTCCTGCTTCTATCAATACCCATGGTAAGTTCTTATAATTTACTTTTAACAGTAAGGTCATTTGTGACCAAATATTCTTTTTCAACTTATGCTTCATTTACTCTTCTTTTGCAGCCTATTTTTTCACACATTTAGTCTTCAGTAGATGGGCTAAGCAATTTCCACGTGGCATTGTATCAAATTATCATTGATCGTAGGGTATGGCATTGTCAGCTCATCTTCTATTCACTTTGATCAAATTATTTGTCAGCTATTTTAGTTTTTAATTATGATATTATTTCTTATTTGGCCTCAAGATTAGTGGACTTAAACTTTGTTTATTATCTTTGCAGTACGAAGAAGACCTTAATAATGTAATAAGAGATTACAATATTAACTTGACAGTAAATGATCCATTCTTTTTTTGGATGCAATGTCCATACTTTAGTGTAATTTGTACCTTATGTTTTACCTTTGTTTTTAAATTAAAATTCCTTAATTTGGTTTTGGTTTGTTCCATAATACATGTGTAAAGATGACCATGTTGTACATTACATATTTTGGGAATTAGACTAAGTAATTTGATCAATCAGAGTAAATATATTTTAGCTTTTCTTACGTCTTAACTGTCAAGATATAAACTTAAGGGTCGTTTACATAAAATTCACAAATTATAACGTCAATTGCAAGTTAGCATATGATCCCGCAATGCATAGAAGAACTAAGAATTAGTGGACAATTTTATGCATTGGTGCTTAAATTTCCAAGAAGACGAGCTGCATTTTCTTTTAAATGTTAATTGTGTAATGTGGGTTTGTGTTTGCTTAGTTTTCGTGGTGATATGGAATAAATTGGTGAAATGTAGAGTGGTTTATTTGCAGAAAGGTTTGACCTTTGAATTGGAGCTATAGTGTTCGTTCCTATGGCTACATTGGCAGGTAAACACTCAACCTTTTTTTATATGTTAATGTTGGTTTCGTGCTGCAAATAAGATAGGCACATTGGTGTGTAAAATTGAAAACCCAGTAACATATGGTATAGGAAATTCAAACGAATTTGTAAAGATTTTCTTTTATTGTTTTATGTTGTTTTCCACTATAAAATAAAACTCCTTTATATCCATGGTTCATCACTTGGAACAATTCTCAGTTTTTAACTTTTTACATATATTGCCTAATTCTCTAACAAACTCCACAACAGCTTTTGGCTCAGAAATGTTCACAGTTGTCTTCATCTGAAATGAGTCAATCAACTGTATACCATCACCGCATGTACTACAAATCTCGATCAAAGCTAGATTAACCTCTCATATGGTATGTAAATTCAATTTACAAAGAAAGCAATCAATGCTTTTTCTTCTTTCTTTTTTTTTTTTTTTTGTTTTTTTTTTGTTTTTACAATAATATTAGAACAATAATAACAGGTTTTATCCTGTGAATGTCATTAAAATTTTATCTCCGATATAAACAGGTTTTTGCCAATTGTCATTTTTGAAGGCTATGACAGTTTATGCCATCATCCAGTGTTACTATTTGGAGAAGATTGCTGATCAAAATAATAGGTACCTTGCAGTTTTCTTTGTAGTATATTATTAAATTTATTTAAAAACTGCAAAAATTACCCAATTTCTTTACCAATTATAAAAATCGTTCTTCTTCTTTAACATTCTTATTTATTTGTACTAACAGCTTCTATTTTCTCAAATCATAACACACAAGCATGTACATCATCACAAATAAAACAAAAAATTGGGAAGCGACAGTCAATATAACTTTCAGGTACAAATTATTATGTGTATAAATGCAATTGTAAATAATACACCTAATATGAATGCACATATATTTTATATATTTTTAAACACGCGGGCACTATTACTAGTTAAAAACTATATGTGGATGATGCTTTTAAAAAACAACAAAATTTGTGTTAAATTGCCCATCATTTTTAATTATATTCAGTTTTAATTAGAGAATTAAAATTGTAGTTTTATGGAATTTTAATTGACAACGAGAGTTCTATTAATATGTAGTTTAAAGTAAATGGAATACACCAACCAGAATTACTAGCCGGAAATATAGATTTGGTTTGGCATGAGAAGTAGAATCACCATTACAATAAGAGATGAACGTCTTCTAGTTGAGCATGGTATGGAGTTTTGATCTCTCCATAACTGCTCAAAAAGCGCTTTTGGAAGAACATTCGCATCCCGTCACCTCGACTAACTACGAGCGAGAGTGAGGAGAGAGAATGACCAAAAATAAACCTAAATTGTGGATGTCGAGTCGATGGTGTCGATTTTAGCATGGGGCAAATGTTTCTCTACTTTGGCACCGCATGTTTGAATTCATACTAGAACGGCCAAAAATATACTACGTCAGCTCTGGTTTTTTGGGTTATTTTCTGGAGTAGTAACAGATTGGAAAACTAAAGCCTCAGCTCTCATTGCAAGTTGCATTATACATAAAATTCAGAAACTATACGGAAAGAAAGGGCAACTGAACAAGAACATGAGGTCCTGGAGGCCGAGAACAAACGTGTTTTGGAAAGTTAAAAAATATAGTTTTCGATATATTCTACCAAGTTCCAACCATGTTTAAAATATTTCAGTTAGGCAACATCTGCAGCTGAAGTTGCATTCTGAAAATAATCAAGCCGAAATTAACCCGTTACGACAAACTTCTTCTCATCCTGCACATAAATAAATATTCACTTTTTGGTTGCGTCTTAGTCTTGCCATTAAGAATCTAGTTTCAGTTTGAGTTCAAAATTATCAGTACCCACAAAAAAGAAAAGAATCACAACATGCACAACATTGTTATAGAAAGATGTACAGACAGCTTCCTTGTCCGTTTTCACATATCATGATCGGCACTGTCCAAGCATTTTTACATTATTATCCCTACACCTACTTATCTGTTCAGTTCGACTGATGTGAAAATGTCATAACATTATTGCTTACATATCTTCCATACCTTGCACATTTTGTTGAAAACTTATTTACATAATACGACTTTGCATCTTTTTTGAAGTATGTACACATACCTTGCAAAATAAATAATCAAATATCAGGCAGGTTATACTGGGATTGAGATGGTGACTTACTAACATGGATTCTGAGAAAAAGCACCATGTTTAGCTTTCCAAGTACGACTCTGAAGCATTGAATGGTTAAATAAAGCAGAAAGCAATTTTTATTCTTCCTTCTGCCTTTTGTGAGCTTGTTCTTGGTCATCAAAACTACCACTTTCACTTGGAGCTGCCTCTTCACAATATCCATGCGTTCGCTTCAAGATTTTCAATGTTCGGTTGAGCTCTTCCAAATCTTGCTTGTACACCAAACGAGCCCCACACATTGTCACCACATTTGGTTCATTTCCTCCAACTGGATACCATTTTTCAAATGAAAACTGTTCCTGACATTGCTCTCGAGACAAATAAAATATCCAAAGGTGTTCTGACACCATATGCTCTGTTTCATAAATGAAATATGAAATCCCAGGCAAACACTTAATTCCGAGTCTAAAATAAGGATAGTTTTCCTTAGGCGGTGCAAAAACAACGCAAAAAGCAATTCCCATCCAGCTGCTACATGATTGAGGAGGTAGCTCCACATTTAGCGAATGTCCCACAGTTTGATTGTTGAACCACTCGGGAATCCCCTTTCCGGGGCATACAATGTAATTATGACCCAAACAACGACAGATTCCCTGCACCAAAAGAACCATTAAGAGAGGGGGGGGGGGGGGAGAGAGTGAGAGAGAGAGAGAGAGAGAAACAGAGACAGAGAGAGAGACAAGAGTACCTCACTGGCGAATTTCACGATCCTTGAATATATTGTATTCATCCAGTCTTCATCTTCAACTAATGTAATGCAATTCTGAGAACTGAAAGTAAAATCATAAATATTGGCAAATCTGCTGCTCAACTTCGAGGGATCCGACAACCTTTTCAAGGAGGTACAATTATCTACGTTTACGTGTAATTTGCTATTTGACGGAAGATCTGGCAGTTGCTCAAGTCTTTGGCACCTTTTCAATAAAAGAGACACAAGTCGAGAAAGGCATTTGATGCTTGCTGGAAGGGTAATAAAATTGTTTCCACTAAGATCTAATATTTGTAAAGAGGACAAGTTATCCCCAATATCATGGGGGATATCACCTTCACCAAGATCACAATAGGATAGTTCTAAGCACTCCAAACAACGCAAATGATTTAAAGAAGACAACACCAAACGCCAACAAGGCTCAAGGCTCTTTCTAATTCCAAATAAGCGGAGAAGGCCCCACTCGTCCCTTGGCTTACCTATTGATCCAGAAACACGCAGCGTTTTGAGATTTTTCATATCAACAAGTGGCTCTCTTATTGCGTTTTTCCCCATATCAAGTTTCTCTAAAAACTCCATCTTCCCTGGGAGTTTTTCGATTTTTGAACTTCCGTTGACCCACAGCTCTTTAAGAGACTTCAAATTACAAATCTCAATAGGAATATCCAACAGATTTACGCAATCATTAATATTCAGTAGAGTAAGTCCAACCAGATGTCCAATTGTTGAAGGTAATTTCTCAATCGCAGTCCAAGCTAAACCAACCACGGACAAATTTTTCATCTGCTTTGAAAATTCTGGAATCTTTTTCACTTTGGAGCATCCAGTAAGATCTAAAACTTCAAGGGAATCCATTTCTAGCTCACTTGGGAGACTCTTAATACTTTCACAGAAAAAAAGTTCCAAAACTTTAAGTCTTTTAAGAACTGCAAAAGACGGGTGTACCTCAACCAAATTAGTACAATTCTCAAGAATCAACCCCTCAAGATTTCGAAGACCAGTAAAATCTGGGGTACTTATCAATTTATGTGAGTTGCTAAGATCAACATATTTCAAGTTGGGGAAATTCTGCAGAATACAAGAAATAATGTATATAAGCTTCCAATTCCAAAAACCTTACAATTTTATTGGACATAAAAAAATTGTTAAATAGCATTCATTGGGTATATTCTTACCTCTTTTCCATCCCAAAGCCGAACAAGTTTGCTATCACGCATTTTTAGTTCAGTAAGGAAACGCGGGTGAAAGCTTGGTGGAAGAGACTTGGAAGGATACAAACTCCAATTCATAATTCTCAAGGAAGATGGAAGAAATTTGGGACTTGGAGAAACGATCAAATTGTCAAATTCCAGAAACCTCAGTCCAGACATGTTAGGGAAGGCTTCGCAATTCCAGTGCACCTCTTCTTTTTCGGGTAACCGTAGGCTTATGCCTTCAATAGCTCCTGTCCCCTAATAACCAAGAATGTAGGAAATGTCAATTTCACATTTAGTATCGTGCCAAAAAAAAAATATCTTCTATCGAACTTGGTAATCTTACATAACTTCTTACCGTATTATTCATGAATACATGAAAAATGTCATTGGGAAGCCACAACCTACTCCGTAGGCCAGGCTCTTTAAACTCGTTACCAACAATTCTCCATGCCATTTCTTGTATCAAATCATGCATCCCTATCTCGCTGTACTTGACTGAAGTATCATACATGAAGCATTTTTCAGAGGTCAGAAGAGATTTCTCAATTAGAGCATCTATCAAGATCCGGCTTGAAATATCAAAGGAATTGTCTAGCATTTCAATTACTCGCTGCGTGTGCTTCCCTTTGTGAAAACATGCAACATCGAGAAAAATTCTCTTCTCCATCTCTTCTAGTCCATCATAACTTATTTTGAGTTTATCAAAAATTGTTGGATTAGGAATTTTCTTTAGATTATCCCGTGCACTATTCCATGCATCTAGACCTCTCTTAAACAAAGCCGACCCCAAATGTTCAAGAGCTAATGGAAGGCCTCCAGCATGATTAATGAAATACTTAGACAGTTCCAAAAACCCATCTTCGGGCAGATCTTTCTTAAAGGCATGTTGACTAAACAGAGCAAGAGCTTCAGAATCATTTAACAACTTGACGCTATGACATAAAGTTATGCCATGCTGGACTAGCAAACGTTCATTTCTAGTTGTAACGATAATTCTACTCCCACTACCAAACCAAGCTTCTTTTCCAGCTAGTACTTGTAGCTGGTTTATTTGATCCACATCATCAAGTACAAGAAGAACCTTTTTGTTGCTTAAGCACTTCTCTGTGTATATGATTCCCCACTGTTGATCCCGAACTTTCTCAATCTTTTCTTTCAAGATTGGGAAAAGAAGTTGTTGTTGAAGACTAACTAGAGTACGATCTCTGATATTTGCGAGAAAGCAGTAAACTTCAAAATGATGGAAGATTCTATCATAAACTAGCTTGGCAAGGGTTGTCTTACCGATGCCGCCCATCCCCGTTATCCCTATAAAGCGAACATCATTGGCATCATGAGCTAATAGCGAACCTAGTTGCTCAAGCCCAGAATTAATTCCGACTAATTTCTGTGAGGAATATGACACGGTGAACGCAGCTTGCACTTTCCTCCACACGCTGTTGACGATTTTTTCAATAAGCTCACTTTCACACCTACAAGGTATAAAATAACCAATAAAAAATACATAAACGAAGCATTCAAGTTTGAGTCTGTTAGGACATGGGAATTTAAAGTTGTTCATGCATGCTTACTTGGATTGCTTTGAATGCCAACCAGAAATTTTGGACAATCTTTTTAGATCAGCTTTCCATTGGACAACCTTCTTTTTATCTTCGGTAGTGATGAACTTTTCTTCATGCTCTGCGAAGGCTTTGGCAAAAGATCCCCGTTGATTTCCAACGTCAGATGGATCTGTCTCGTAAAAGACCGGCAGAACTGAGTTCCTAGCTTCCATGCATTGAAGAATGGCTGTAAGTTCATTCAAGCACCATTTGGAAGAAGCATAGTTTGGTGAAAGAACAACGATTGCAACATGCGATTCTTTGATTGCACTCGGGAGCTCAAGTGGAATACTTGTTCCTTCTTCAAGCTCTCGATCGTCAAGGAAAGTCGTAATTCCTTGGAACTTGCACAATTCGCGGTATAAATGGGATACGAAACCCTTGCGGGTGTCTACACCCCTAAAACTCAAAAACACATCGTACTTCCATCGAGGAGTTGATTCGAGAGAAAGAAGTGGGGCAGAGGCTCTTTGGGTGCTCATCGCCATTGCAAAGAAAATGAAAAGTGAACGAAAAACCACAATCAAAATACTCACACAAAAGTATGAGCAGACCAAAAGAGAGGTTTTGGGGGAAGGAAATAATGGAAGAGAGAAAGAGTGAAAGTCGTGGGGAAGCCAAGTGAGATAATACGAATCAATCCAACAAGAAAGCAAGAGACCAAGAAGCGGACTTTATTGGATGAGGATCCCATTTAGATCCAAAAGGTAGGGATTCTAGAGATTTTCACATTCTAACCATTCATCATATATTGTACAGTTAATTTTTTTCAAATACTATTTGTATTTAATTTTAAATAATAAAATTTATATGATTTATGATTGTATGATTTACGATGAACGGTTAAGATGTGAGGATCCTTAAATCCCAACCATTTGGATCGGGACGGGATCCGAAGGACCAAATCCATTATTGACAAGTAAATTGCACAAGTAGATTGAGAAAAGTAAGTTTGAACAGGCAGCGCTCTACCTACTCCTACTCCTACTCCTAAATTGGACCAAAAAATAATTTTTCATTTTCTAGAGAGGATGAGGATGTTTTTTGGATTTTTTTGTTGGAGTTTTAGAGATTCTCATATTATAGTTATTTATTGATATTGTGTGATAAAATTTTCATTAAGTACTATTTATGTTTAGTCAAAATAATTTGTGATATATAATGAACGGTTAGAATGTGAGAATTCTTAGTATTCTCACAATTGGATTTCGATGAAATCCAAATCCTTCTGGGGCCTCCATGCATTCTAAATGCGGTTTCCAACTACTTGATGGACACTTTCCAAGTACTTGCTGGATGCTTTCCAACCACTTGCTTAGTAAGACTGAAGTGATTTCTGATTAGTGAGATTAATTTAAAGTGAATATGACCTATGAAATAATTGAGAAAAATCGGTTGAGGCTGAGGTATTATCAAGGGTTAACTTTTAAATGTTAATTATTTAATACTATCTAAATAAAATGTTTTAAGTTTGATTCTGGCCGAAAAAGAATTTGATCCATATTATTATTAGTCCATTGTGAGGCTAAACGCACTCAAGTAGTCAATTGAGAATTTGAGGGTTTTTAATGTTTTTAATGAATCTAAGGGTATTCAATCATGATTTTAAGTGATTCTCTGAAATTCAACGTGTATTCAATCAAATTTTTAAGATAATATTAAAATCCTTAAAAATATTTGTATTCAATTAAGATTTCAAAGAAGTTTATAGCATTCTAGGTGCATTCGATTATGAATTTATTTTAAAGAATTTTAAAACGTTAAGGAATTTGAGGGAATTTGAGAGCTTTCGTATTACAATTTATGCATCACAAATATCACCTCTTCCCTTGAGATTTTGAGATAGTTGAATCAAAAAATTTCATGGAATCTATACAAATAAATTAAACTCCCGTAAACTTCATGGATTTATAAATCCATTAATATCTCTAAAATATACACCCCTAAATTTGTAGACAAAGTTTTGGAAACTAAAGAACATAGAAGTTGATGATTAGTTTATTAGTTAACGTTGATAAACATGCTTATTTATATTAGTGACACATCAATTAGTGTGTAAATTTAGTATACGAATTTAGTCTCCATTGCATTACCCATATGAAATATATGTCGCAGCTTTGGAAATTTTTTTTTTTTTCAATCCATAAAAAAAGTATTGTTAAATTCAAAATTATGTGAAAGAATAGTGTCAAAAAACTAAGAACAAGACGTGGAGGAGACTCATAATTGGAACAGAAAACCCTCGGCCTGGTTTTATTAGCTTTCCCGAAGAAGATTATGTCACTTTTCGCCAATCCTCTCTTTTAATTATTTGGATAATCAAATAATATTTAAATTGCATAATCAAACCAAGAAAGTAAAGAAACGATAAATTATTTGATCAGTCGAGAACGAAAGTATCTCTATAAATAAATAAACAGTTGTTTACAGAGCCAAAACAAAGACTAAGAAAAAAACGAGTAATCCACAAGAAAGAGCTGAACTTGGCCAACACCAAAATGAAAGGACAAAACTTGACAACCAAAAACACGTGAAAGAAGACTGGACTTAATAGTTACGAAATTTCAAGGAAGCTCACTCTCGATGTGTTTGTGAGAATTAATTTAAACTAAATAGTATCAATGAACAGTTTTCAATCCCCTTATATATAACAAAAATAAATAAATAATCATGTAACAAGCACATGTTCGTGAGTGAAAAGTTTGAATATGAGTTGATGATTACTTGTAAATTACTGAATACAGTAGGCAAAATTACTAGCATCATTCGTATACCAAAAATTATCATCGGAAATTCACAATGCTAAAATATTTTATGAGAAATTTTATTTCAACCAATATAACTTCACACCAAAATCACTCACACCAAAGTAGGAATAGACGACAAAGAGATGGGTATTTCTTTTCGGGGTTTTTTAACTTTAATCCTTTAAGAATATTGAAATGTAAAATAAATTTCGGGGTTTTTTAACTTTAATTCCTTGGAACTTGCACAATTCGTGGTATAAATGGGATACAAAACCCTTGCAGGTGTCTACACCCCTAAAACTCAAAAACACATCGTACTTCCATCGAGGAGCTGATTCGAGAGAAAGAAGAGGTGCAAAGGCTCTTTGGGTGCTCATCGCCATTGCAAAGCAAATGAAAAGTGAACGAAAAACCACGACGAAAATACTCACACAAAAGTAGGTGCAGACCAAAAGAGAGGTTTTGGGGAAAGGAAATAATGGAACTGGAAGAGAGAAAGAATGAAAGTTGTAGGGAAGCCAAGTGGGACAATACGAATCAATCCAACAAGAAAACCACAAAATGAACACAGAACACCAACAGACTTAATTGACAAGGAAATTGCAAAAACAGATTGAAAAAAGTCAGTGTGAACAGGCTGCGTTATATTTAGGAGCAAAAATAATTATTCTTTTTTTGGGGCCCCATTTATTCTGGACAGTTTCCAACTATTTGCTGGACGGCTTCCAATCACGTTATACATGTCTCTTTCAAGAATTTTCACACTTCGGTCTGTTCACTGTTGGGATCCACTACTTTGATGTCAAGTGCTTGCCACCCTGAAGTACCCGAAAACATGATAAGCAGGCAGTCATTCAACAGGTGTACTTATACATATCGAAATGTAAGAGAAACTTTCATACATCCAAAGTCTATGTGCGTGTGTGATTTCACCATATAAAGGTTGGATGACTACAATAAAATCATATGAACTGAACTATAAGGTTGGATGACTCATTTAGAATATATATACACACACACACACACACACATATATATTAAACATATAAAGTAATAAAAAATAAGATAAAAAAATGTCTATAAAAAAAAGCCAATCCAAAAATTACAAAGGGAAAGAAAAATATATATTTAACATGCAAAAACACTATGTCTATGCAAGGAGGAGTTTAATTTCTTTAAGAATCAAATACTAAAATTTAAATAAAAATAATAAAAGAATCTTATCATAGTATTTCAGCATTTCAAATTTAGCTCAAAAGCTCCAATACAGCATGTTGATGCCTATATAACACAGATCACTGCAAGACAAGAGAAAACATAAAATTTAACCACAAAAGAGGTTTCTAAGTAGGCATATTTACATCAAGGTAGAGGCCTCCATCACTCCATCCGCCAATTTTCGAACGCCCACCTCTGCCAGAGGAAATTAGTGATTTAAGGCCTGCAATCCACACTTGCGCCTCAACTTTGTCCTTGCAAATCTGGACGCAAATGACAGATTATCATAAATATTGTTATTATAAATAAAAATAGGAAACAATGTAAAGACAAATAATTTTGAGCTTCCACCACTAACCAGATCAAGAGACGGCGTTCCGTTATTGTATGGAAGAGAAAATGATAAATAGTCCTTTTCAGGACGTAAATATCGTTGAAAGACAGCCTGTAACAAATTTTGGAGCAAGATGAAATTAGAATAAGCATCGCTAGAAGACTTAAATTTAAACTGCAGTAAATGTATGCCAATCATGTACTAAAAAATTATATCAAATTTCTCACAGTTCTTTGTCCAGGAACAATTCTTGTGACAGAAGCCAACTTCAAACTTCTTTCGATACTTGAAATCCAGATCAAAGTTGATTCGTCCTGAAATTATTAAATGCAGCAGTAAGTAGAAAATAGAAAGAATTTAAGCAGACAAAATTTGTGAATTAAAATACAATAAATATAATCACAAGCAAGAACCATAGAAGGCCATTGAAATGCTATCTACCACAGAAGGCCAGTGAAATGCTGTCCCATTAGCAGTATTTTACAATGCATACATCAAAACACAAAGTAGCATGGTTATGCAGCAACGTAGCAGCACAACTAATGTCAACTGACATTTAACATATTCCAATACCTTACAAGGTGAAATGTATAGTCTATCAAACCTTCGTAGCTATTAATGATATGTTTCTCCAAGAACTATAGACCATATTTTGCCTTGACTGACCTCAAACTACACTATGAATAAGTTCTCAAATCTCTCATCCAAATTAAATATGCCATAGAATCTGGCAAACTGCCTACTGTACCCTTTGGTTCCAATCTGCCATATGGATCGGAACCTAAATTAACTCAGATTTCCCCTTCAGTTATTAATTTAATTAGCAGAAGGGAAACTTGAGAAATTTTATCTTTTCCGTTATAAGCACAAATGGAAATTGTATGCTTGTGGGAGAAGATAGAAATTACCTAATTGGCACTACATTACCACTGCTAAGCAGGAAATTCAATTAAATATGTTTCGTACCATTCTTGACTTCATCCTTTTACAAATTTTACTGTCTGTTCATGCAGGAATTGTGGAATAAATTTTTTATTTCAACCTTAATAATTGAGCACACCATGTTCTTTTCCTTCCATGGAGTGGACAAACCACCAATATTTTAAAAATAAAAAATAAATCCTAATTGAGAAGCTTTAGATACAAACTTACAGTAGAAAGTCTAAATGGACAGAACTTAGGCTTTCCCTTACGACCATATTTCAGTAGTTGAGCACCCTCCTTCAAAGCAATTATTGCCTGAAAATCATTTAATCATTCAAAACCATGAGAAAGATATGAAGGGCGGATAAACGCTGTATGAACTAAACATAGGACCATATCAAATGCTATTCTAATTAAAACGTTACCCTGAACTCCATACCGCATATAGTAATGACTTTTTGACTTCCAACTCAAGAAGCATACCAACTTAGTTCTCATCCAGTTACAAGTTACAACCATCCAAAACATATCATAATTCATAACCGTTATCCTGCGACTCAGAGAATAAATCGCTAAATCCAAACTTTTAAGATATTAAGAAACCCTATGCGTCTTCTCAAGTTACTATAAAAACTGTTCCAAATAGAGCAGCAGGTTTTACACCCTGCGAAGAAAGTAAAATGTGGTTTCCATGCAATGCCATTTCCATTAGATCACTCTGTCGCAATAATCACTAGACATTTATCGTTCAAAGATGTCAGTACTTTACATATGCCTCGGAGCAAACCCAGTTGCCGATATGGAAAATGCGCTGTTTGGTTCGAAACTTTGGCCCTGTTTGGTTCTGTAAAAGCACCCATACTGCATCCATTGAGCCAAAAACGATGAACCCAGAAGTGATCCTCAAAACCAAAACCTTGAGAAGAATATGTTCCCACTAATTATATCTAAAAAGTTGTATGTCAATTACCAAATCAAAATTCCCTCACATTTTTAACATACCTGAAGATTATGTTCCCAGTAATTATATCTAGAGAGTTGTTTTTCAATTACCAAATCAAAATTCCCTCACATTTTTAACATACCTACAAAACTTAAAAGTATCAAGCTAAAAATAAAGAGCTCTCCATCCAATTTCCACTTTTTGGAGGAGAAAAACAAATCTTCTGCTTTTCTAAGTAATTAAACAGATAAATAATTAGGAATTTATTTCATTTTCTTTGTACTTTTTGATACATTTGCAAAAACAAAAAAGAGGCAAAGAGAATTTAGAGAGAAAGAGACCGACCTGGTCGATGTCACGGTTGGCATTCCCGTAGCTAACAAGATCTGCCATTCCATGTGACAGAAATTACCGTAACGCCACCACCCTCTCCGATCCCCCGCCGGAGCTCCGTTCATCATCTACCTTCCAACTGTCTCTCGCGCCTCCGTGCAATACCATCAACGGCCACGTCACCACCACCACAACCACCACTGCTCAGCTCTCTCTTTCTCTACACTACGCGGCGCAGATCTGCCGAAACCCTAAGACCTCCAGTTCTGATCTTTGACTCCGAGCAAAGAAGAAACTGAGCTCGAAGCCGTGGACTGTTGGGAAGCTGGTTGCGGAGAGACCGACGGCGGGTTGAAAAACGAGGAGGGCCTCAGAGAGGAATTTAGGGAGTGAAAGAGAAAAGAGAAGGGACGAAAGGGCGTCGGAGAATGGGACGGGAGGGGAAGCGGACCGGACGAAGGAGCGAGGGAGGGAACAGAAGAGAGAGAAAATTCCCTGGAAAGAGAAAATTTAGGGGGATGGGTGGGGGCCGTGGGGCGTGCCCGAGTCTGTAAAAAGCACAATTGGTCAAACCTGTGAAAAATTGAGTACTACCGATCAAATAAATCAAACTCGCAAAATAAAATAAAATAAAATATGTATCTACAATTTTAGAATTTGATGCAACTGAGTACGAACTTGTTGAAACTACATGATGTTAGAGATTTTAATAATAAATATATAAATTATTTTATATATATATATATATATTATATTGACTTGGTGCTGCATTGTTACAACTTTTAATTAAAAAAATATGATGCTTACTCAAATTGTATGAGTAGAATTAAAAGATATAAATAATTAAAATTTACTTTCTGAAAATTCTAAATAGAAGATATATCTTTTGGGTCAACACTATTAAGAAGGGTTGTATATCTTTAACTAAAATAAAAAGACTTGATGAACGAGTGCTTTAATGCCTATAAATACCTATTGTGGCATAATGTTTCACACACAATTTCAGAAATTTATTTTTACATTCCTTACTCTCTCTTCTCTCCATCACATTCATACAATTTCTTTCTACTTATTTCTAAGGGAATGCAATTCGGTTTTGCTAATCGAATATTTCATACTTTGTTGTATCCTGGAAGTGACTTGCCAAGAACCCTTTAGCAAACTCATTCTAGTGGGAGCAAATAACACTTTAAGGAAACGATTCAAGTTGTACCTCAAAGTCATCATTCAGATTATTCTCTATATTTCTATATTTACTCTAACACATGACCAAGGTGGAAAGTTACTCAAAGTTTTTCTTTTTATAAACAAGGTTAAACAAGCCACTAATTAGATGTGTCCTCCTCGTATGTTGTTTTTAAAAACGTTTTGTTGTAAGATTAAGATTGCAACAATCAGTTTTGGTTTTCTCTTTTTATATAAGTAGTGTCAACCGGCCATATAAGTATAACTTTTCTTTCTTGCAAGAGTTTTATTTGTTATTTTCCAAAGGTTCCATTGCTGGAAATTGGCAAGGTGTAATGTCTTCAGCCAAATTTGAACTGAATGTAATTGTAGTCTAAGTTTTGTGTTTCGTTTTTCGTTTTGTGCTACATAAATGTTTACGTAACTACTCATATATGTTATGATATATTCAATTTCAAAAACACTTTATCATTATAAGATTGTGGTTAGACTTTAGTGATGATTTTGGGTCCTTGTAAGAGTGCAAGTGATGCATCCTTTTCTTCTTTACGGGTGGTATTAGGTTTGAGCGTTGCGAGAATAACACGATGACGATAATGGCCTTCATTAGGAGTGATGTGGCGAAAAGAGAAGCGACCAAGTTGTACGTTGGTCTACACACAAGAAGGACTGGAGAAGGGTAGAGAAGGTATTGCACAAGTGAAGGTGGGTTCAGAACTTCAGAGGGATTTGGTGGCTGTTGTAACGCCGAAGGTAGCAGATTTTGAACCCAAACAAGGAGAATGTAGGAGTGTGTGAATACCTACAATTGCACCAATGTTTCATAAATCCATATTAATTTGTGCACACGAATGTCATTGATTTGTATTAAGGAAATACATGGACGAATATTCTATGCATTTTTAAGTGGAGAAAATCCAACAAAAAAACTCGACTCCTTTGTAAACATGAATATCAATCAATAATGTGCGTGTTAAAATATAGTCATTCTTTACTTCCTAAAGATAAAAGAATGAATGCATGAACTCGAATGCGTAAACGAGTATTTGGTTTGTTTGAATATTAGGAAGTGTTTTCTAATAACTAAAAACACTTATAACTAAAGTCTTGTTTGATATTGTTTTTTCATCAAAAGCTATTTCACTTTAAAATTAAGCATTAAAAAAATGTCTAGTAAAAACAAAATATCTTGCTTATTTTAAAAGCAGTAGCCTCCAGACATTATCTTTGAAAGCAGTATGCATGTTGCTTTTAAAAGTTATTTTCATAAAAAGTTGAGTTGAACCTTTAATATATATTTTAAATTCCTTGTAACCCTTATTAATTAAAAAAAATTATTTATCTTTTTTACTTGGTTTTATATTATGTTGATAAAAACAAAAGTTTTATTACACTTATTTTTCTCGCTCACACTTTCTGTATTGCGTCCCTCCAAGACTTAGTAGTTAAGAGCTCGTTTAGATGTGCTTTTAAAATGATTGAATGCGCTTTTAGAGAAAACATTTTTGGGTTTCAAAAGCACTAAAAGTGCTTTCTGCAAGAAGCATCAGTTATGTGATTCTTCTAGGAAGCACCTTAAGTGCTTTTCCAGAATTTACTTGCATCTTTACTAATGATTGGTTCTAAAAACATTTTTACCAAAAGCGCTTTCAATCATTTCAAAAACACATCCAAACGAGGTCTAAACTTCTTTGGCAAACAAAATTTTGGGGAGTTCTGACGTACAGTCCAATTAATGTGAGAATTTTTAATTCTTGTAGTTTTGTGTAATATTCTTCCGTACTTACGATGGGAACTTTTCGTATATTTACTGCACCATTAGTATAACAATTGCAATTTACATTCCGTATTGAGCACCTTCATCAATAGTTTTAAGTTTCAGTTTTGATTTAGGGGTGTGCTATCCACACACCCCTTTTGGTGGATATCCAAATCGGGATGTGTCAGCAGGAGAATCAAGTGTTCAAATGTGAGTACAAGTCTAAGGGTATTTTGGCTCGGTAGTTTTGAATTATAATATCTTATCGATGCTTTAAATCGCTTTTGACTTGATAAGGGAATTTGTGAAATTGTTATATAATCATTCATGGTGTTGTGTATGGATCCTTTTAAGATTTTTGTTTAAGCAATTGGTTGAATGATGATCATGTTAGTCATTATGTGGATAAGTAGAATCAAACAATTTTGGCTTTGTTTTGTCCCAATGATCATGTCTCTAGTGAAATTGTAATTCATTTTGATGCTTGTAAATCAAATTGTACTTCGACTAAGCAATTTGTTGAATTATTAATTTATTACTTATTGTGTTCGAGTAAGTGAAAGTTAGGAAAATTTGTTGTTAATTGAAGCTTAACATTCTTATCATTAAGTTTGTCCAGATAAGTGGGAGCGAATAACTTCGGTTTGCTCTATAAGTAAGTTCACACTGTTATACATACATATTGGGCATCAATAATCTTAAGCCAATTATGCGTTATGTATATTGAGAGTAGAAACTTACTATTGAAGTCGACAGTAATTTCATCTTCCTCGATTCTTTAAAGATCAGATTTATTCTTACATGCAATGAGCATGATTTAATTTTCTTTAGTTTGAGAAGCCACGTCAAAATAGCCAAAAACCCCTAAAACTTGTGGGACTTTGTTCTTCAAGAAAAAAATAAGGAGGGAATATGGTAAGCAGTTATTTGAAGCACATGTTCTACCAAGGTGGCTGTTTTGCTTTCTGATTTCTCCCTCAGCTTTTCTTACATGATCGATGCTTTTATCTACGTACTCACCCATGAATAATACTAAAAAGAGAAAAACTCACACTATAGGTATATAGCACCTTATGTTTACACATTTTCCCAAACCCTAACCCTAATTCGACAACCCTAACCCTAATTTTGTTCTTTTGTTAACTCTGAATGGTGGCAGCTGGCAGTGCATGGCTGTGACATCCCACATCGCCCAGGGAAGTGATCCTTAAATGTATATTCCAATCCTTACCTAGCACGAGGCCTTTTGGGAGCTCACTGGCTTCGGGTTCCGTAGGAACTTCGAAGTTAAGCGAGAAGGGGGCTTGAACAATTCCATGATGGGTGACCCACTGGGAAGTTGCTCGTGAGTTTCGAAAAACAAAACCGTGAGGGAATGGTAAGCCCAAAGCGGACAATATCGTGCTACGGTGGTGGAGCGGGCCCGGGAAGTGATCCGCCCCGGGCCGGGATGTGACAATGGCGGTCCACTAAGGGACCAGAGTAGTTTCGGGTCCATCCTAACAACTGTGTAAAAAAATTTCTAACAACACGAAAAGAAGATGAATTGTCCTTGTGAAGAAATTGAGTCAAACGACATCATAGCTTATATTTTTCTAACAGTTTTGTTTACTTTGGCTTTGTGGTTTCTTGAAACTCAAGAATGAGGTTTTAAAATCGACTTTAATGTTATTTCTAAAGCAACCTAATCAACTATTATTTGCAACCCTCATCTTTGCCCTCCTTTTTTTTGTCAAACGATTCAAACCAGATTTCTTTGTATTTTTGTTCATATAGTTTCACATTTTTTACTGGTTACCCTGGTCTCTACATCCTACTTAGTTGTATTATACATTTTTTACTGGTTACCGTGGTCTCTACATCCTACTTCGGGTGGTAAGTACAGCGAAAGAAGAATTCTTCATGATGTGAGAACCGAGAAGTGTATATAATGTAGGAACGAGGCTTCCAAAGGCTTGCTTTGCGGACAAGAAGCCAAAATTGCAAAGTTGATTTGACACAGCCACAAAACCTACCTACTTGGCATGGTCGCCTTCTTGCCATGCATATGGGACCATTGCATACAAATTAAGGATCACTTTCACTCTTTTGAGGACTTTTCGTAAGTGCTTTTAAAAGATTGAAAATATTTTTAGATAAAATGTTTTTGGAACCAAACTTTAAGTAAAATGCAAATTAATTCGGGAAAAACACTTGCAGTGCTTCCAGCAAGATGTACATAACTGGTACTTTTTAGCATGAAGCACTTCAAGTGCTTTTGGAATCTAAAAATATTTTTTCTAAAAGAGTTTTTAGTCATTTAAAAGTATTTGTCGAACAAGTCCTAATTCTCTTTTCGATTGGCCAACTACATTTTACCCAATTGGTTGTCTATCAT